TAGGATAAATGGTGTTCGTGATTGGTACATGGTCGATTCCAATATTCATTAGAGAAACTTTGATTTCAGAAACTCTGCACTAAAGCAATAGGTTTCTTCAGTTAAGTCCCTGGATAGAGTAGCTGGCGAGTCTTGCAGTGCTCAGGGAGCCCTAGGTCAGACAAGCATCTTAAACAACAACAACAACTTGCATTTACATAGCACCCCTAATGCAGAGTAGAGCCCCAATATCAAATGTACAGAGTTTATCATCATCTTCTTAAAATACAATCTTTTTATTGTACTTTATACTAGGCACATGGGCTCCCAAACCTTGATTGGGGCTGAAAAGACTGTAATGTATATTTCTTTTTGCCACTAAATGCTTTGATCCTCCATCAAATGTTCTTAGACTGAATTTTTAAGTATTCATTGTGTAAAAGAATTCATCTTACTATAACTTTGTGTTAAAGTATATTAAAGATACTCCAATGCAGTGCTGTGCCGTGCCATGTTTCACTCACAAACTATACAGTCAATTCACTTTACGGTATATTCTGTGAAGTGATTTGAGACATCTCAAAGATGTGATAAAGGCACTATACCAAATGCAAGGATTATTATTATTAGGAACACAGCATTGTTGGTGATGATGAACATTAAACCAAGGTCCTGTTTGCCTGTCCAGATGGTCTTTAAAGATCCCATGGCACTATTCAAAACGTAATGGGAATTTCTCCTCGTGCTCTGGCCAACAATTCTCCAGATAAATTAGTCATTTACTTTATGGCTGTTTGTGGGACATTGCTGCATGCAAATTGCCTGCCACATTTGCCCACAGAAATGCTATAAAGTACTTTGATATGAGAGATGGTACAAAAAATGCTAACATTTTTTACTATTATTATTCCAACTAACATTAGCTAAGCATAGACCAGAGATCAAACAAGTAACCTTTGATCCATATAGCTCGGTGCTACACTTTGTGGTGACCTGAATACAGAAACAAAATCTTAATAACTACACTTAAAAATCTGCAATACTTCGATGCAGGTTTAAAATATTCTTGGTAAAAATGATGAGAAACCTTTTCTCCACCCAGACACCACCACTTTAGAGGAGCTAGTAAAGTTCCACTTTGTGTGGGAAATAAACCACACTGAAGCTGAAAATAGCAATATAAAAAACATGTTGCAAACTTTATGGCAGCCGCCACTGTCACATCAGCTGCAGGTCAAACCCGTAATGGCAGTCAATCTGGCCACATGCGAATGGAAATTTCAAAACAGCTTCATCCAAAAGTGTCTTCAATACATCACAAACTTTCTTTTATAGACACTGTTTACAGTGCTAATGGGAGCAAAATGGCTAAATCAGTTGATTTCCATTTGCTATTATAAACAGTTTAATGTTTGTAGGACATTGCTACATGCAAATTGGCTCTCCCATTCTCAACAAAATACACAGCCACTGCATTTTACAGTAAATCCTGTGAAGCGCAGCCCTTTGAGACGTCTCTACGACCTGATACATTGCTATATCAAATACAAGGATTATTATATAACAAAATCCTGTTTTCCAACAAAGCACTGTTCCGTTTCTGAAAATTAAAGGCTCATATTTGTCTTCTAAGTCTGACTTTCCTACCACTGTAATAGGTGACATACAGCTTCTTCCCTCCAAGCCTGACTGACAGACCCGCAAACATTTGTAATTGATTTTATTTGTACAAAATGCTTTGTTTAGTTATGGAGTAATGCACATTCCATGATGTGATAAAAGTACAAATATGTACAATGAGGATTTTGTATATTTTGGTATATTTAGCTAGTATTGTTTTAAATTGCTCACATGCAAATATACACTTTGTGAACACAATGCATGCACTTTCAACCCTTTGCCCAGTACCAGAGAGGTATGTATCATGCTGGATTAGTTGGTAGTACTCATGTCTACGGACAGGAAGTTTGTGAGTTTAAGCCTCATGCTGGGAGTTTGAGCTCGTAGCCTAGGCTGACACTCCAGTTTAGTTCTGGGGGAACGCTGATTTATTGGAAGTGCCAGCCTTTGGGTAAGAAGTTACAACAAGGTCCCATCTGCCTGATCAAGTGGATGCTTAAGATCCCATGGCACTATTTGAAAAGAGAAGGACATTTTTCTCCCAGTGTTCATTGCCAACAACCCTCCAGACAAAATTTGTCATTCAGCTCATGGTTGTTTGTGGAATAATACTGTATGCAAATTGGCTGCCACGTTAACTACAAATTATACAATCACTACACTATGTGAAGTACTTTGAGACGAATCTGATGTTTCGACACAAGTTCAAATACAAGGAATATGATTAGGTGTAGGTAAAAACTACAGTATAAGCAAGCAGTTTGGGAAGGTGAAAGTGAGGGAGTTGGCTTCAACCAGTCACTAGTATTGCATGCTACCATCACCCTCGACTATGTAATAGTTACGTTTCCCAGCAAGAAAGATATTTCTGAAAGTGACTCAGTACAATAAAAATCATAATAATAATATTCCTTGCATTTGATACAGCACCTGATCATGTTTTTGAGATGTCTCAAAACGTTTCATAGAATTTTAATGTAAAATGTGGTGACTGTGTATTTGTAGGCAAACTTGGCAGCCAATTTGGGCACAACAATGTCTCACAATACGGTATTTGTAGAACTGTACAAATATTATTTTACAAAAATCATTGCCTAAGTATGTTTCCTCTGGTAAGCAACTAACTCTGAGTTAGCAAAACTGGCATTTTTTTTATCTTGCAGGAAAATGTCCCCAGAGGGTAAAGAAAAAACCAGTGAGGGGTTAAAAGACGTGTTCAGTGGTGAGTGTACAAATTCAGGCACATATTTTGGTTTCCAGTCACATGGCGCTTTAATAACCAATGACTTTAGTCAAATTCTAACACCAAGAGGTCGTGCGAATCCAGAGCTAAACAGTCTGAAAGATATTTTTCATTCAAATGCAGATGTTTGCAGGAAATTGAGCCATGGGAGATTATGATCAGAACAGAGCTTCCCTGACTCAACAGCACTGAGTCTCAGGTGAGAAAACTTTTTTCTCTCTCTCTCGCTTCCTGTAACTTGGCTCAGCAAGTCTCCAGCCAGAGATTTCAGGCGGTTTAATGATTAATTCGTGATACAGCGCGTTTTCTGCTGGTGAAATGTCCCTTTGTTTGACTGGAATTACACAGAGCGTTGGAGCAAGGTAGAACTCCTCACTGCTCAGCACTACCTGCTCAACAGTCTGGCTGATCGTCCTCTGATAGCACTGAGCAAATCATCAGCTCTGTTGTTGTGCTTCTTTTGAAAGATTCTTCCCTTGTAATGGATCCACTTGACTGACCTGTTCTTCACGAGTGTGGAACACACCTTAATCTACCAGTACCTGTGAGCAGCACCTCAGGCAGCTCAGGGTAAGGATTCTGACTCAGGATATCCATTAACTCCTCTCTCTCTGCTGTATATATCTGTCATGTTTTGGATCTAAGGCAAATGTACTTTTATCTTTTAAAGACGGGCAATGGATCAACATCTGTGAAACATGATTTGAGTGGAAATTGAGGTTGTTGTGTAACTACTTTCTGGCTTGCTCGGAGTCTGTCCCAGTATTGTATCTACAAGAGTAGCATTGTGCTTTGCTTCAGAAGGGGAAGGCATGGAAGGAGTTTAGGAGGTCATGAACTGGACATTGATGGCATTGTAGGATTCAATGTGTTTGGTTTTTATAACTGTGGGGTTTGTAATTGCATATCCTGGTTCGTGCCATTAACAGAGTTTATCCCAAACAAACATAAATTGAGTTGGTGCCACACCTTAATGTGAACCAAAGTAGAAGAATTGCTTCATAAGTTCATTGTAATAAACCTGAAGGATTAGACCGGCTGGTTATCGCTCGGACTCTGGTCAGCACTGTTAACATATACCCAACATTCACCTTCAGAGGTTATAGTCTGCTTTTACATAGGTATCAAGCTTGGGGCAAATTTTGGTGAGATGAAATCATTAGGCAAAGGAACGATGGAAACTATGGGAGTTACCTGGATACAAAGTTAGATGGAAGCATTACACATGAGAGTTTAGCTTCAGTGATTTTTTAATACCATTTCCCGGACCCTGAGTTGAGATTTTAGGGTTAAAATCATTCCGTCTTGTTACTTTTTTAACAGGGTGGTTTTATTTTGTTTGTTCCTAATAGAGTATTATTGTGTGGAATCTGCTCCTCTCTTTGACCATTCCCCACCCTCCTGTCATTTGCATGTGACGACATCAGCTCTACAGGATTAGCAACCAAGACCCAATTGTCTCGAGTTACCAAGCAATAGCTTGTAGTTTATTACCAGGAAATAACATACTGTAGTTGGTATATGTCAGAACAATTTTCTGACTGTTATTGGAGACGGTACTTTCTAGGGCACTGAAGAAACTCATCCCATGCAGAAAATTGTAATCCAATATTTATCATTTTACATTGCATAATTGCTTAAGTTTCATTTAAAATTGACATATTTCGCCTCAAAATATTCTAAACTGCCTATAAATAGCACTGATTGTCAGTGTTTGCTCTGAGGCATATCACAGAATCAAAGTGCCTTAAATCATAGGTTTGCTGGCCTATTTTAGACAAAAAAATTTGTCACAAGAATGTTGACATGAAACAGGGCAGGAGTTTAAAGTCAACAGGTGTTTGCAGGATGTGAGCTGTTAAATACTAATAATATAAGGCAAGTCTTTGGATGATTATTTGGTTTCTCACTGGATTTGACTTGGATATGGTACAGAGGGAGGCAGAACCAGTTGAATTGAGGCGAGGTAACCTGTTTGCCTTTTCGATGAGATTGGTGCTAGATCAATTACAAGGACTATTAGTCTCATTGTGTTGACCAACTAATGACTATCCTCCTTGGAGGAATGTGGGCAGGGGTAGCTGAACTGGCTCCAAGGATACTCAACTTGGCAACAAAATGTTGGAATCAAGTCAACCCTCCATGGCAATCTCGGTGGCCCGGTTCCTGAGCCAGGTGGATACTTGAGTATTCTGATAACAACCCAGCCAGCCTGGTTCATCGGGAGGACTTGGAAGAGCAGACCAATTACTCGGCTGGGATTCTTCCTAATTAGCTCCCGGTAACCTCAGAAGCCAAAGCCCTAAGGAGTAGAGTGGTCCTAGCTGGAGAAGCATCAGGAAAGCTCACCAGATAGTGCTTTCAATGGCAAGCTATGTGTTTTTAGCTGGTTAGACTCCAGTAGTACCCCATTGCAAACTCTAGGGTCCCCAAGCCTTGGTTCTTGCCAAACCGTGCCTAATGCTTCATCCAAAACTCTGCCGCACTAAACTCCATATCCCCATCACACCAGTACTTGCCAGGCTCTACTGGCTCCCTATCACCAGACGGATCGATTTCAATATCCTCGCAATCGTCTCCAAATCCCTTCATGCCGGAACCTCCCTATCTTTCCTACTTCTGCATACTCCCCAATCTTCTACCCGCTGCCTCCACTCGACTGGCTCCGGCCTTCTGCATGTCCCTCGTGCCCTCCATGCTATCATCATTGGCTGCGCTTTCAATCAGTACTCCCCAAAGCTCTGGAACAGTCTTCCTCTATCCCTTTGCCTTGCCACTTCCTTCCCCATCTTCAGGTCGCATCTGAAGACCTTCCTATTTGACCGCGCCTACGGTCAACTCCCCCTCTCCCCAGCTCTGTGTCGCTCCACCACTGTCAAGTTCTCTGGGACACTACCCTATGAGATGGGTGCTATATAAATGCAAGTTTATTGTTGTTGTTATTGTAATATACTATCCAGAATTAGGTAAGCAGGAAGTATCCCTCCAGGATACTGGAATTTCCATGTATAGGTGGGAACTCAGTTTGGTTTGCAAACTTTTAAGCATGTTTCTGCATGTGTCAGACACCCGGCTGATCAAAAAAAAATTCTAAATCATTTCAGGGAACACAGCAACACAACTTTTCAAATGAAATTCAATAGAAATGTACAGGATCAGAAAAGATGATTTTAAACAGTGCTGTTGAATGTTTTCAATTGAATTCTTTGTCAGATTCCAGTCAATTGTATGATTTTAAAATGATTTTGTTCCTTTAAGTCAGGGTGATTCAACTGGCAGCCCACGATTTCATCTGGCCCGCAAACCATTTCCCACTTCATTGTTTTACCTCTCCCCTCTCCGGTTGCACCTCTCGTCCAGACCAGTCTCCCTTCTGCCTCATGTCTGGTACAACCTTGTGAGAGGCAGCGCTGGGAACAACTGGAAGAGAGGTGCAGCAGCAGAATTTTGCGTATTTTGCAATTCTAAAACTATGAGCCTCAGTCAGAAACACAAGGTAGATTTGGAAAATAGAGGGCTTTGAAGCTCTGGTTCAAGAGAATCATTTTCCAGTGTTATTATTTTGTTCTTTGTTAGGACTATTAAATTATGTGCATTTTAATTCACTTGGTTATTTGTTTCACTTTCTTTACTCAGGATTTAATGATGATTGTTGCATATATGTACTTTATTGATAGTGTATTGTTTTAAAATTAGCATAAATTTTTATGTTGCCTATTTAAAGTTTGCATTGTAACTAAAATAGTGAAATTAAGCAAATGCCGTTACGCAATTTAAAACATAGGATTTCTATATGATTATTACAGGCTATGTTTCTGGAAGGGAAACACAAAAATAATGCTTATGCGGCCCACAGACATTTCTCGAATCCGGCATCCGGCCCTCAGCAGCCAATCTATTATTCCTTTGATTTAGCTTTAGGTTTTTAATGCAGTTACTTTATTTAGTATTCTTAAATGTTGCTGTTTATGTGCAGGCTGATCCCTGCTGCAGCATGATCCCCATTCTAGTGTGATTGCCCTGTGAACCCACAGTATGGCTTATTGCAATGGAGCAAAATGGTGACTCTTCCATTTCTGAAAGCACTTGTGAAAATAGTCACTGACTTTGTGCGTATGGTGCAACAAGAAATATATCATTGGCGAGTGACGACCTGTAAGTGCTGACTAGTGGCTATTTTTTATAGCACCCTCAAGCCACTAGATGGTGTGAGTTTGTGGAGTCCCATAGCTCAGTGGTTAGAGCACCCGCTTTGCAAGTGAGAGACCTGAGTTCAATTCCAGGCAGGGCGAACCCTTGGGCAGGTTTTCTTACTCCACACGCCTAATAATAATCCCTCCAAAACCAAAAACAATAATAAATTGGTCATTTTCAATCTACGACTATTTGTGGGACATTGCTGTGCGCAATTGGCTGCCGCGTTCGCCCACAAATATATACAGTCAGTTCACTTTACAGTGTGTTCTGTGAAGCGCTTTGGGACGTCCTCCTGACATGAAAAGCGCTATATCAAATGCAAGGATTATTATTATTATTATGGACCCAAACAGTCATGTGGTGTAGGGGTCTGCCTGTAGAAAACAGCTTCTTCTCACTTATCAACAGTTAGTACCAATTTTGAACCAGTAGTGAGATATATAAACACTTCATGTACAGTCTGGTTTATGTGCACTATCTGATAGACCCACTGAGGTAAGGGCGCAACTGTGTGGAGATTCACGGGGAGACAATCTAAACCCTGTTACTTTTTGTGCTAAGTATGGTTGCAACCAGACCCACCCTCTACCCACTTTACACACATAAACAACCACCAGGAATAATTATTTCAAAAGGAAATAATACTGAAAAAGTAAATGGAACTCATAAGTGGAATAGTCACCAGACCTAGAATATCAACTGAGGTCAGAGAGAAGTTGGAGGTAGAGTTTCTGATAATAATTTTCCAAATATCTTTTGGAACAAATATAGTATTGAACAACTGACTCAGTGGATAAAATGTATGTACATGGATCTCCTTATCCACATCATCCTTAACAACCGCCGGCTCCTGCCGCGGCAGATAGTGAACCATGCGGCTGATTGGGAGAGAAAGGGATTGAGAAGGAAGGAGGAGGGAGGAGAGAGGAGGGAGGGAAGGGGGAAGAGAGAGATAATGATGGGGGCTGGGGAGTGTGAGAGGCAAGAGTGAGAGGGAGAGAGAGAAAGCATGTGTGAGAGAAGAAGAGTGTGTGTGAGAGAGAGGAGGTAGAGAGAGTGTGATTGAGGGAGCGAGAGCATGAGGGAGAAGGGGGAGAGAGAAACACAAAGAGTAAGAGAGCAGAGAGAGAAAAGAGACTTGAGGTTCACTGTCAGGACAGACCCTCAGAGCTTCCCAGGGCCATCGCTCGCTCTTTCTCCAGTGAAAAACTTCTCTACGTCTTTCATTCCACCTCCCTCCCCACCCTACCTCTGCAACCTCACAACCTGGCCATTTTGCAGAGCAAGAGAAAGCTTACTTCATGTCCCCCAACCCGATCTGCCCCCCCATCACCATTTTGCCCCCGCTCTCTGCGGTTCTGTTCCTGGATTCCCACCAACTCACTCCCTCCCTCCCCTCTTTCAAGGCACGTCAAAACCTACTGTTTGACCACGCTTTTGCTCATCTTTTCCCCTACCCATCCCACCTGAGTGAAGCAGCGGAGGGAGCAGGCAGGTTGGTAGGGGGTTAGCAGGTCACAGAGGTAGGGAGGAGTAAGGCCGTGAAAGCTTTGAAGGTGAGGACCAGGATCTTGAACTGTATCCTCTGTGTGATGGGAAGCCAGTGGAGTCGGGCAAGGATGGGGGTGATAGGGCCGTGGAACCTGATGCAGGAGAGGACATGGCCTGCAGAGTTCTGGATGATCTGCAGCCTATAAAAACATTTGAATTTAGGCTTGGGGAAAGATGTCAATTTGTTGATGTAAGAAATTAGGGGACATGCAAAAGTGAGGAAGAATGCAGAAATCTACAAGTGACATAGGGATGTTTAGCTGAGTGGGTAGATAGGCGGCAAATGGAGTTTATTGTAGAAATGTGCAGGAGAAAGAACCAACAACAACAACAACAACAAGATTACATTTCTATAGCGCCTTTCACGTCGGGAGGACGTCCCAAGGCGCTGGACAGAGTACAGCATTTCAAACAAATGCCCCCTAAATGTTGTCTTAATGGAGTTGAGGAGTAGATGACCTAGAAATACCAATACAGAGGTCTTCAAAGGTGTAAGTAGACGTGACTATAAAAAATGAAAACAGAATTCTAGATTTTATTTAGAAGTGTAAACATGGCTTTGTTGGTAGCACTCTCGCCTCTGAGTCAGAAGGTTGTGGGTTCAAGCCTCACATGTCAGGACTTTGAACTCAAAAGTCTAGGCTGACACTCCAATGTAGTACTGTGCTGCATTTTTAAAGGTGTCATCCTTCAGATGAGATGTCAGACTGAGGTCCCATCTGTCTGTGGAGGTGGTTGTTAAAGATACCCTAACACCATTGGAAAAGAGAGGAAGTTCCTCTGAAGAAGGAGGTGTCCTGGCCACCTATATCCCAAATAAAATTGGTCAATCACTTCATGGCTGTTTGTGGGACATTGGTGTGTTCAAATTGGTTGCTATGTTTACCCACAAAACACACAGTCACTAAACTTTATAATATATCCTGCTCTACCAAATGCAAGGATCATTATTAAAACGAAAGGGGAGGTTCGAATAATTTATTTCATGCAGGATTGTTAAAATATCAAATTGGAGTCCATAACATCAGTCGAAAAGGAATTAGGTACTTGAGAAAAATATTAAAGCTGAAGGCCTGGCCACCGATGGTAGGGCGGTTGGGGCGGGGGATGTGGAGCAAACCGGAGCCAGAGGAACGGAGGGTACGGGCAGGTAAGTAGGGGGATAGTAGATCAGAGAGGTAGGAGGGAGCGAGGCCGTGAATGGCCTTGTAGGTGAGGATGAGGATCTTGAATTTGATCCTCTGGGGGATGGGGAGCCAGTGGAGGCGAGCGAGGGTGGGAGTGATGTGGTCCCGAAGCCTGGTGCGGGACAGTACACGAGCTGCAGAGTTCTGAATGACCTGCAGCTTGTGGAGGGAGGTGGCGGGAAGGCCGGCGAGGAGAGAGTTCCCATAGTCCAGCCTTGAGGTGATAAAGGCGTGGACCAG